AGAATATATATTTTTTTTATTCTACCCCAAACCAACCCTTCTTCAACCGAATCGCATGTGTTAATACAGAAATTTAATTCACAGTTATTCTCAGGCTTCGCTGGGCGATCTCTCCCAGCTACAGCAGTCTGAAATTCTCGGTCTGAAATCCCACCAATCTGCTTTTAAGTTTTGATTGGGGCTGAAGCCATTGCCAATAGCCTTCACCTTTTATAAGACATTTCACAGAAATTATTTGGGGTTCTTTTAAAGGATACACAGAGAGGCACAGTGCAGCACATTTTTACAGATCCCTCCTGAAATACAGAATTTCTATATTTGGTGTTCACAAGAGCAATGGAAATCTTTACTTTGTTTTCTGTGGTCACTCTGCATTTATTGGGGAGATCCTCACCTCTTTTCATAATGTTACCAATAGTTAAATCAAACACACAAATGTCATTGAATTTCTTTCTTTGACTTCCCTTTTACTCCCCCCCCCCACAATAATAATAATAATAATAATAATAATAATAATAATAATGCCATACAATAAATTTAGACTCAGAAATCATCTTAGTGAACATCATTAAAATCAGTTCCAAGTGATATTTATTTAAACTAACATAACCCTCCCTATAATGTTTGTAAAACACATCTATTACATTTGATAATGTTTAGTATTGTAGTCAGGGCAGAGAACACTATACTCCTGCCTACGCTCTTCCATCTTGGAAATAAAGAAACTGTGTCCATTATACAGCATGAAAACATGGTAAGTACAATAACGGTAGATACTGCTTTCAGTTGGTAACAGCCTGATTGCTTGAACATAAATTTATTGTTTATTTATTTATTTATTGAAGCAGGGTCTCTCAGCATTGCTAAGTTGAGCAGGCTGGGCCTCAACTTGCAATCTTCCTGTCTCAGCCTCCCAGAGTGCTGAGGTGACAGGTGTATGCCACCAGCCCTGGATTGTACTCTCTTTGGAGAATACATACAACTCCAGCTAGAATCTTTGTTTAACCTGAACTCTTTTTCTAAGGATGGCTGAGATTCTGGCAAGATGGTCCCCATGTGAGTAAGAACTAAGCATCTCGAAGGAGTTCATCCCCTCCAAGAATTATCCAAGAATCCCATCTTCCCATTCCCATGTTTTCTCTCTACTCATTCTCCCCTCTCCCTGGCAAGGACTCTCCATCTCCTCCCTTACACGTGGATGGGCTACAGACCCTGACACAGGGAGGCATTGTATATGACTGCATTTCTTATTGCAGTGCCATGAACCTCAGTCTCTCCTGAGTAGTTTAAACTTCCCAGAGCATTTTGACCTTCTTAGAAGGAAATGACACTTTAAAAAGCGATCTCCACAATCCCGTTACCAGTGTCAGCTCCAGCCAGTTTCAACAACACTTTTTAGCAAAGACAACCGTTTACACTGAGCTGGCCTCCTGTGCGAGGAAAATATCTTGAGTGACAACAGGTGGCTTCTAGTGGTGGCCAAGCTTTGTAGTGGCACAGCCTGTCTTTGTGACTATAGAAAGCCGGATGGTGCTGCCTCCAAAGCACATTGGCATATCACTGAGGCTTTGAGGCCCCACGGTCTATCATTTCAAAAGTCCCAAGCTCTTGACCCAAAGCCAGGGTGGGTGGCAGGGTAAGGGGAGTGGGCGGGAGGCCCTAGGTTCTATACCAAGAAAGGAAGCCTGACACACACATACCTCCTTGGGTGGAAGTTGTCACCAACACACACACACAGCCCCTTTAGGCAAAGACAAGAGCGGTTGTTATGGCTGATGAGAGTTGCTCCCCAAGTATGTCCTGAATGTGGGAGGCCACGGCAGCTGCCTCCCCATGAGACTGCCCGCAGGGTCCCTGCCAGCGGCCACAATGACTCACTGGCCCTTGCCAGCTGTCACGCTTTGCATGCCGCTGGAGCTCCAGCCCAGCACAAGGGGCCATCCAAATCACCAGCTCCAATAAGAGCCAACTCTCTGTGCCCATGCTGGGTCTGCATGGCCACCCGGAACGTTCTTTCTGGGACCCACCACCCAGGACACTTAAACACACACTGACCAGTGTGTCCAATGGACACCATCTTTGATGGAGAGTGAGACAATGAGAGGATGGAGGAGGAGATGAGGTGAAGCCAGCAAGCAGCTAAAAAGAGCTTTCAGGGGGATCCACAGTAAAGGACATCTTGGAGAGAAGAGTGGCGTGTGCATTTCTACCTCTCGATTTCTGCTTGTGTGAAGGAGATGTGGCAGAGACAGATGACACAATTCTGCTTTAGGCTTCAAGTTCTGTCTTCCTCGTTCACTTCTTTTCCCAGGGTAAAGTAGAGCTTCTGGGCCCCTGACAGTTGTAGGCCTGTCTCAGTCTAGCACCTCAGCCACCAACAGGATGGAGGGTGCTGAGTCAAGGGTAAGGCCTGTCAAGCAGCTGGGGCAAGGTTTGCGGAGGTGGAATCCTAGGGACTCACTTTTCAGGATCATGACTGGAGCCCATCAACTTGTCCAGGCTGCATGGGCCTAGGCTGGGCTCGTCACCCTTGCACCCAATTTGCCACCTATCACGGTCCATCGTGGGCTCCTCACGGGCCTCCTGTAAGTCTGGTCCAGCTGGAGGGAATTCAGGAAGCAGCCACTAATGGGGCAGCCCTGCTCCTGTCTAAAGCAATCTACATGCCCTGGGAGCCTAAATTTCATCATGGACAGCAGAGATCAAATGCCCAGGTCCATGGGTCCCATACCCATCAAATGCAAAAGTGTCTATTAAATATGCTGAAAGCACACTACTTTCACAAGAAATGCAATGATAGTGAGGTACTGAAATTTATTGCTTGAAACCTATAAGGCTGTTCCTTTGGATTTTCTCCTTCCTGCTGGACTCAGCTCCTTCCTGCCAACCACCTCTTTAGATAAGATTTTCATCATCCTAGCCAGCCAGGCTCCTCTAGAAGTCAGGAGTCCTTCCATGTTATATGGAAATCCTCTTTCTATAAAACCTATAGATAATTCTTGTATGCTGGCACATTTCAAGATGAGCCTGTGAGCTAGAGGTAATTTCAGAGCCATTCTTAGATACTTTCCGGACACACAGAGGTTGCAAAGCATTGTGCCGAGCTTTGGGAGGATGCAGAACAAACAGGTGGTTGCTGAACGCAGAGATAAGAGCCAGGACAGACAGTTGGAGTTATGGAGAAATGCTACCAATGACTTGGCAAGCTTGACCCTGGGAGGAAGATGGGAAATGACCAAGGCTAAGGAGATAGTATAGGAGCTGAACCTGAGGCAGGGGCAGGACCGTACAGGTGGAGCTGGGGCTGGAAGCAGAGGCCAAAGTGAGCCTATGGAGCGAATGCTGATGGAACAAAATGAGAGAAAGGAGCCCCGAAGTCAGCAAGCACAGCCGGTGGGCCCCAAGAGCAGAGCTCGGTGGCCCTGTGGGCCAGTCCTTCCACAGCACCCGTGTCTTACACCAAGGAGCACCAAAGCGGAGGAAGCTTATTTTCTTTCCATGACGCTCTAGATTAGGAGTGGTCAGTAGAACTCTCTGCTGTGGTGGAAGTGGACAACAACTACCATCCTGCTGCAGTCTCACACTTGAAGCAATGCCAGTGCAAATAGAGGTCTCAATGTTAACTTAATTTTTAAAACGAATTTACATTTCATAGCCACTGTGGCTAGTAGCTATCGTATTGAAATGGGAAAGGTTTAGGAACCAAAAGGTCCTCCTCCAGGACGTTCTGCCATGTCCTGCTGATGAGCTGCAGTAGCCTCACTGGGGAAATAACTTCCATAGCCACCAAGTCATGCTAGCTATTTTATTTGAGGAAGAGAAAGACTCCGTTCCACCCTTCGCATGTGTGTTTTGTTTCTGATAAGAGGCTAATTCCTGAGTGAGTTTTGCTTAAGCAACAGCCAAGTCACTGATAAAATGAGCGCACATACCTTTTTGGGTGGGGGAGGGGACCTAACCCAAAGTACTCTGAGTCCCTAAAGGCCTTTAATAAAATGAGTGGAGATGGTGGTGACCACCACCACCATTTAGGGAGTGACCACCCTAAAGCTAAGGAAAGAAACGGACTTTTCCAGACCTGGCAGAAAATCACGTACTCAAAAACAAAACCACGTTACACCCAAATGTATACCAGCATATTCACAATAACCAAGAGGTGGAAGCCACTGAAATGTCCCTGTGTAGATGAATGGCCAAAAAGGATGCACACACAAAAAGGAATCTATTACTCGGCCCTAAAAAGAAAGAAAAGGAAATTTGGATGCAGACTACCACATGGAAGAAAGTTAAAGACGCAACACCAGGTGAAATAAGCCAGTTACTAAAGCACAAGCACTGCCTGGTCCTCTGTGTACCGGGTACCCAGAGCAGAGCAATTTCATGCACACAGAAGACAGAAACGTGGTTGCCAGGAGTTCAGGCAGAAGAGTGTAGAATTGTCTGATGGCTGTGGAATTTCTTTTCTGGAGGACGAAGGGTTGGGGAGAAGGGTTGCACAGCAATCTGAACTTACAGCAGTCACCACTCTCGTGAACTGCTCGTAGAGATAACTAAGATGGTAAATTTTATGTTGCGAATATCTGACCATGATTTTTTAAAGGACGCGTATAAAAAAAGAGGGCGAGGGGGAGGGGAGGAGGAGGAGGAGAGAAGAGCAAAGGCAGAGGGAGTGAGTTTTGCTTAAGCCAGTTTTGCTGGGCGCCTTTGGGGTGCACACCACAGGACTGTTCAAGGAAGACTGGCTGCAGCCATCAGGTTCAATGTACCAGTCCTCCTGCACGCACCCCAAAGGCGCCCAGCATTCGGCTCCCTGGGGTTCTGTCCCTTGACACCCGAGCTCACAATAACCTCTTCAAGGGCTGCCAGCCGCACCTCCGAGCCGGCCGAGCCCAGGCGGCCAATGAACACACGTCTGCGCCGGGCCTCGGGTCTCGATTGGCTGCGACCGGCCAACCGCGGTCCCCGCAGGTTCCCAAGCTGGGTTTAAAGGGGTCCGGCGCGTGCAGCTGCCAGCCATCCACCGCCCGCGCGCAGGTCCGCGGGGAGGGGCGTCCTGCCGACCGGCCCACCCCGGGGCGTTCCTGAAGGGCGCCCGAGGCTGCCCCCACCGCCTCCTAGATGTACTATGCGGTTTCCCAGGCGCGCGCGAACGCGGCCCCAGTGACCATGCTGAGGCCACAGAGGCCCGGAGAAGTGCAGCTGGGGGCCTCACTTTACGAGCTGGTGGGTTACCGGCAGCCACATTCCTCCTCCTCCTCCTCCTCCTCTTCCACTTCCTCCTCCTCTTGCACCACGGCGCCCCTCCTCCTCCCCAAGGCTGCGCGCGAGAAGCCCGAGGCTCCCGCCGAGCCTCCCGGTACTGGTCCTGGGTCCGGCGCGCACGCGAGCGCCCGGGCCGACGCCAAGGAGGAGCAGCAACAGCAACTGCGGCGCAAGATCAACAGCCGCGAGCGGAAGCGCATGCAGGACCTGAACCTGGCCATGGACGCACTGCGCGAGGTCATCCTGCCCTACTCCGCGGCGCACTGCCAGGGCGCGCCGGGCCGCAAGCTCTCCAAGATCGCCACGCTGCTGCTCGCCCGCAATTACATCCTGCTGCTGGGCAGCTCGCTGCAGGAGCTGCGCCGCGCTCTCGGCGAAGGCGCAGGGCCCGCCGCGCCGCGCCTGCTGCTGGCCGGCCTGCCTTTGCTCGCCGCCGCGCCGGGCTCGGTGCTCCTGGCCCCCGGTGCCATGGGGCCCCCAGACGCGCTGCGCCCTGCCAAGTACCTGTCGCTGGCGCTCGATGAGCCTCCCTGTGGCCAGTTCGCGCTCCCCGGCGGCGGGGCAGGCGGTCCCGGCCTATGCACTTGCGCTGTGTGCAAGTTCCCGCACCTGGTCCCCGCAGGCCTGAGCCTGGCCGCGGTGCAGGCTCAGTTCTCCAAATGAAGGCCCACCTGGGCCCGGGGAGGGACGCGACCTCGGGTCGGGCCTCCAGCCGCCCAGCTTCTTTGAGCCTCTGCGCCCTAAGTCCAGGGAGGGCGAGCCCGAGGAAGGAGAGCATTTGGAACCATTTCTGGACCAGAGAAAGGGATTGTGGGGCGCCTCGTTTTCTAACCGCAGCCCTGGGAAATGAAGGGGACCCAAGCAGCATATGTTCCTTGGAGCATCAGAGCTGTTTGCGCTGTAGGTCTATTCCTCCTGCTTAGGACAGAAAGTGAGCGCACCCCCTACTCTAACTCAGCACGCCTCTGTCCCTGTCCCTGGAGCTGTGCTCCACGCGGGGCTGGTGTAGATTGTAGAAGGCGGTGCTGCCGCTTCGGATCGCCCCGGGTACGGCGAGAGACCATCCCTGAGCGCGACCTTCTCGGAGTGTCCCCTCCAGACCAAGCGTCTGCTCTCAACCTTGTTTGTGTCCACGGGCCAGGTTCTATCAAAGGAGGCTGCCAGACCCCAGGAAACCGAGAAAAACCAGTTATTCGGTGCGGACCGTCAGGAACGCCGCAGACGCGCAGACCCTCGGCAGCCTCTCGTTTGGCGTCCCGGTGCCGCAGATGCGGGCAGTGACAGTCCCAGGGCCGCTGGACGTGCAGGATTGGAAATTCGGTCCCCTTTTATAGCCAGGCGATTCGAATGCTATTTTAAAGCATCGATCCTGGGGTCTTCTTAGGCAGGTTAGGATTCAGAATCGCCTTTCGTCTCCCCTTCCCAAAGGTAGTCTAACCAACCTTTGAGCTTAGGTCAAAACAAAAAGCAAGCACTGTTCACACCATCGGAGCTCCGGATTTACTAAAATAGGTAACAAGGCATTTCGCTGTCGCCTGTCTCGCGAAGCTGTCTAATTAACCTCATTAGAAGACACAGAGGAGGAGCAGCCAGAGCCCAAACAGCGTGCGCCTTGGGCGCGTTCAGCTGTGGTGGTGGCAGCGGACGACGCTTTTTTGCGCGGTCCTTCCGCGCACTTGCGGGTGCCGCACTAGCGCACCCCGCGGGGGGTCCGGGTAGCAGCCTAGCAGCTGAAGCGTACTTCGTGACGGGTCCTGATTTGTTAAGGGCGTTAACAGATTACCCAAGGTTATTTTGTGATCTTTCGGCAGTTTGCTTCGGTTTTTATGTGGACAGTATTTGGTTGTCCATAGTAGCCAAATTTAACTGGCGTTTTATTTTACCTCTAACTGTGTTCTCCTGAGCTGTACAGAATCAACAAAATAAAACCTTTCAAGTCTAATTTTTACATTTTGCGTCTGATTTGTTAATTGTTTTTAAAAGATCCTTGTACCCCGGTGAATTCAGAGGTGAAAGTTACTCCTCAAACAACCAGGGGCTTCTTTAAAACCCGACTTCCTGGATTGTAAAATAATGCAGCAAAGAGGCAACTGTAGTTCAAGTTCAGACCTCAGCTGGAAATGTAAGGGGAAATGTAGGGGTCCGAGTGGGCGGGTGGGCCAGGGAAGGAAGGAATGAGCTCTGGACCAAGCTTTGGGAATGGGTCTCTATTGTGTATAGCGTCCTCCAGGAAAACATGAAGCCAGGCGTTGTGTTGGGCACTAGTAATCCCTGGACTCTGGGAGACTGAGGTAGGAGGATCACAAATTCTAGGCCAGCCCGGGCAATTTTGTCATTTAGTGAGACTCCATCTCAAAATTTTAAAGACTAAGGAGGTAGATCAGTGTAAAGATTCTGGGTTCAATTTCTAGCACAGCAAATAATAAAAGGAATCAAGCAATGCATGTGTCATAATACCATCTTTAATCTCTGCATCTTTCTCAGAAATCTCAACCTTTCCTTGATGGACAGAAGCTTCAACACAGTCAATAGGTAGTCTCCCCTTTCTCATCAATTTAAATGAATTGGAGTTTTCTCCTTGACAGTTAGTGTTTTGGACATCACTTAAACTTCCTAAGGGGTCAGGAAAGCGCATCTGTCCAGCTGGTGAAGAAGCCTTTGGAATGCTGACCAGCTCATGTCTCATATTTAATTTCACAGATGCCAACCACTGTTTACGTATGGGGAGCAGCAGAGGAACTCTGTGTCCCCTTGAACCTGGGGCAAAATTAAGGAAAACCTAAATGTAGTGGCTTAATTTTGTCCATGTGGGTTTATGTGAGCCTTCCCTTGGGACCACACATAGGGGTGCTGGCTAGAAAGATGGACTTACATCCAGGGAAAAGAGCCTCTGCTCTACCACGAGCATTTACAAGTCAGTTTGAATTTGGCCTTTTAGTTTTTGAGGGTCTCTTCATTACCTTGCATCTTGGCCAGGAACAGAAGGGAAAATAGAAATCTATAATTAAGTGAAAACCAAATCAGATTTTCCATTAAAATATATATATTTCTAGAAGGTTAGACATAGAGCATTAATTCCTCCAAGTCCTGCTTCAGCACTTCAGTGTTCCGGTCATTCCAAAACCATCTCTAAAAGCAGATGGCAACAATGAAAGTGTCATCTCCCTTCCTGTCTCTACCTGTAAGTTGGAGTACACAGCTATGTCCTATAGGAGTGGGAGTATTCTGTGATTATTTTAAAACTTCCTCAAGCAAATCATATCCTAATAGGACTTCCAGAACTGCAGCCGATTTTGAATGAATGTACCAAGGATATTTAGGGCTGTTTTGGTTGTCATCAAAATATTTACCTACACATCCCGTCTTATTGGCCATTGTGCCAAGGAAATTTAGCAGACTTGCTCCTTGTAGGGAGTCTATATCCTAAATGTTGCATCATTAGTCCTCATTAGTCACTCAGGGCCCTGTAAGACAAAACAGATAGAGGTGATAATGTATGTGTTAATATGTAGTTAAATGATTCAACATGTCTATAGCAGTGTGTTATATCTCCCAAGGTTCCCACTGAGAGGTACATATTATAGAGCTCAGCGCAAGTATCTTTTTAACATCTGTAGTGTTAGGTCATGCCAATAAAGGAGTTAGCTGAATAGCCCACTTCACGCGATTTTAGAGGGGACAGACTTTGTGCAAAAGGATCAGTTTAATCTTTGAAGAAGGTGAGAAAGCAGGTAGGCTCTTAGGCAGGTTCCTTGCAAAAGGTAAACTAGACCCTAAAAGCATGATCAAAGGGAGACTTGGCTCCCTGCCAAAACATTCTTGTATCCAGGCAACCACCAATGTACAGTCCCAGCAATTACAGTGAACAGAACCTAAAGAGAAAAGTATACCAGGCCTGAGACATTATGTCAGTGTGTATACTGAAGGTCAGGTGAGCAGTCAGTAAACAGAGGGCAGGTTAAACGCACCATGGGATTTATCTCACTCACAATGATCATCTATTTCCAAACATCTTCCTCTAAGGGAAACAGATTATGCCAGGCGTGAAAACACAACTGAGAAGGCAAGAGGTTCTATCAAGGAAGAAGCTACAGCCCAAACATGGAAAATACTTCACTTTGCTGAAGTTCAGATTAGAAGGAGCATTGCTTTCACATTGCATACTTAGTTCAGGGTGTCTAATCTTTGCTGATTGCTCAGATATGCAGGTGAGGCTGGGTACAAGGTAGCTGCCACTGATCTGAGCCAGAGCCTGCAAACTAGACATTTTGCAGTCTTTGTCACTCATAAAGAAAGCCAGCCAGAGGGAGTTTCCTTTCTGCCATGCGGGATAGTTTAAAAATGAGGTGCCATGCAAGATGACAGTTCCAAAGAGTAGTTCAGTGGATGCTTTGGCCTCTAGTGGGCACACAGTGCATGGATCAGGAGAGCATATTTCTTTCCAAAGGCATTTCTTGCTTATTTATTGCCATTTATCCCCTCTGTGCATTCATAGTCAACAAGATTATTACCTTCACTGAGGCTCACAGGGCAGCAGGTGGGAAAATGTTACGTTTTTTCTAAAATATTTGCTTTTATCGAGCAGAATTTTAGTGGTAGAGAAATTATTTGAAATATTGTTTTAAAAAAGATCACTTTATTCTGCCAGATATAAAATGTGAATGTAGAGTAGCAAAATATTCCTTAAAGTGTGCATACAAATTAGTTTCTCTCTGTCTCTCTGTCTCTGTCTCTCTCTGTCTCTCTCTCTCTGTATCTCTCGCCGCTTCCCTGCCTTTCCAGAAATGCTGTAAATTAAACCTTTTTCTTTACTGGGGATTCAATCCAGATCATTTGCACTGAACTATATCAAGTCCTTATGGGTTTTTGTTTGTTTGTTTTTGGAGGCAGGTTCTAAGTTTCCCAGGCTGAGCTTGAAGTTTTGTTCCTCCTGACTCAGCCTCCCAGAGTGCTGGGATCACAGGCGTGTACCACCACATCCAGCTTCAAATTGATTTTTTTTTTTTTTTTTTTTGTCTTTTTCCTTTTTATCGGTACTGGGGATCGAACTCAGAACTGCCTGCTTGCAAGGCCGGCGCTTATGCCGATGGGCTAAATCCCCAGCCCCCTTCAAATTGATTTTTAAAGCAGTCCCTGCTCTGTCATTTTTAACTCAGTCCAGCATAAAAACTGAACTGACTGAACAGAAATCAAGCCACATCCTTCCAGCCCGCATGGGATTAAGTGCTCCTTCTGAAAACGCTCCCCTTTGCCTCCTGCTGGTGTTGATATACCAGGCTCTGAGCTCAGGACAAGCAGCTCAGATAACCAGAGTTCTTCCACACCACCAGCAGTAAGGGGACGCGTTTCTCCTTCCTGCACAGCTTTCCTCAGTGACCATGGAGGACCGAGCACAATGGTGGGCCACGGATTGTTGGGGCAATGGCTACAGATCCTATCTGTGAGTCCTTGAATCTGCAGGGCACGGAAACTGACAACCCTTCCCTTCCCCTTCTGCTACTGAATAAGGCAGCTGAGTCCCGAGAAGGTCAGGACTCAAGTTTAAGCCATACAGGCAGTGAAGGCAGGGATGCCAGTGTCCATAAGGGAGGCAAAGCTGTTCCTTGGTACGACCTGGAAGGGTAGAAAACAGAAATTTAGGTTTCGGTTCCCACCCTAGGAGCTGATCCCCTGGGGCATCTCTGAGTCTGGTTTGTTTTTTGCATATATTTGTTTGTGGTTTTTTGTTTTTTTGACAGGATCTCACTGTGTAGTCCAGGTTGGCCTTGAATCACTATGTGGCCCAGACTGACCTCAAACTCTTGGTACTCTTCCTGCTTCAGCCTCCCCCAGCTAATCTCTGGTTTATATCTCTCTTATTGTTTTATTTTATTTTTCAAGCTCCTCTTCACAGCCCGAAGTCTGACCTTGGGAATGGCACCCAAGGCACAGGTTTAAGGCTCATCAGTCCCTTCTTGGCCACCCTGGTTATAGTTGAGTCAGCTGAACTGTCTATGGAAGCCTCACCCTGCATCCCTGGGGGAGGACCAGATTAGTGACAGGGAGTGGCAGAGACAGAGGCAAACCTCCAGAGAGAATCTCTGATAGTGGCATGTTTGTCACTAGGGTTTCAGAAAGCAAGGAAGCAGACAGCTCATAGACAGCAGAGCAGGAGAGAGGGAGAGCTATCCTTATGGCTTTCTCTGCTGAAGTTACCATTAGTGCTTTCACGAAGACAGTGATTGTGCTGATGCTGACGGGCTCTATCATCTCGATGTGGTAAGCATCTTCTCACCAAGTGCTTTTCCAAGAGGTGCCTCCACACCCTTGGGACAAAGGACAGATGTGCCTGATACTGCACCTGGATCCTGCAACTGGACCCTGCACCTGGATCCTGCTCATGGACCTTGACCTGGTACGCAGGTCAGAGGTAGGCAATGGGCCCAGGAAAAGTTCTTCCCATGAGTCCCAGCAGTGGGATCCAAGAGGAGCTATTTTGTTTCAGAAGCTTCTAGGTAACATGGGTAACTCCTTAGAGAATGCCACAGTCATATAACCAGGAGACTTCAAAATAACAAGATCAGATAAAAGACAACCTCTGTGGATGAAAGAAAGAAAGGAAGGAAGGAAGGAAGGAAGGAAGGAAGGAAGAAAGAAAGAAAGAAAGAAAGAAAGAAAGACAGGCCAGTTCACTGGGGCAGGCAGGCAGGTGGGAAACAGGAGCAAACCACAGAAGAAGTGACTGAGTGGTATACGCAGGAACAAAATAACAGTATTGAGAGGTAATGTTGTGTGTATGGGGTGCCAAGGATATTGTGAACATTTGCTTCATTCTGTGGGCACCTGTGTTATCCCCATTTTACAGATGAGAAAACAGAAGCATGAAAAAGTAGAAACAGAGGAAGCTGAGAGCAATGGAGGGAAGCCTGGAAGTGATGGGGTGGCAGGCACAGAGTCCTCAGA